TTTAACAAAACTTAGTCGTTTTTTTTTTGAAAATATCCTAATGAATATTAATTAGTGTTTTGTTTATGACGTAATAAAATATGGAAGCAGTTTTGTGTTAACTGATATTAGCTGATGTGAATTTGAGTGAAATTGAGGGCACAGGTTTCATTATTGGCTGGAAGGTACAATATGTCTCTTTTGGAGTTGGTATTCACATCGGGCGGGGGGGTTCGAACCAGGTAGGTGTTTAAATCACACTTAGCTACTGTGTTTCGAATAGCCAGTGGTGGTTTATGCAATAGGATATTGGTTATATTGAATTTTCCTATCAATCGACCGTGATTGGCATCATGTACGACCTGTTTGTGATTGCTTTGATATATATTACCTTTGGCTTGTAAGAATTATTAGCAGAAAGCGCTGATGGGCGAAGAAAAGGCAGCATTTCAGTAGCAGCAGGAGGTCTTAACATATACAAAAGGAAAAGTAAGATTCTGCGGTACAACGCGATATGTGTTAACCAAATCAAACTTGATGAAGATGTATTGGAGGATATAAAAAACCTTTATACATATCTGGGCGACTTCATCGACGAGCAAGGTGGATCTGATGCAGATGTGCAGGCGCGAGTCGGGAAAGCAGGGAGAGCATTTGTACAACTAAACACCAAAGTCAGGACTTTTAATACAAATGTCAAGACAATTCTACTATATGGAAACTTGGAGAACTACCAAAGCCATCAACCAGAAGATATAAGTGTTTATTAACAGTTGTCTATGCAAAATACTTCGGATTTTTTAGCCAGACACCATTAGCAACAACCTACTTTGGGAGAAAACAAACCAGATTGTATCAGAGGGAGAAATCAGGAAGAAGCGCCGGAAATGGATAGGACATACATTGAGGAAAGCACTAGACTGCGTCACAAGACAAGTCTTATCTTGGAATCCACAATGCCAAAGGAAAAGAGGAAGACCGGAAAACAGATTACTTTGATAAATGAAGACAGACATGAGAAGAATGAACAAAAATTAGACAGAACTGGGAAGGAAAGAGTAGGTTGTAGAATGCTGGTCGGATGGTTATACTCCATTAATGGTAACAAGCATAAGTAAGTAAGTAAAAGACACTTATTAGCAGAAGTGGATATGCTAAAAAGAGACTGATCAATTACAGTCGTAAAGCTTATTGGGAAAATTCAATTATGAGAATATTCAGTTAAAATTGAACACCTGAATGATTATTGTATTGTTATATTTATTCTATTTGTAGAGCTCAGTGTGAAGCACAAATTATCGTAGTAAGAACTGGCTATTAAGAAATTGCAGATCTCCCTTACCTGGGTGTTTCTACTTCACTTATAGAATACTGATGCGTACAGTGTAATTTCTTAACAGTGATATTATTTAATATCATGTACACATTTTAAGTTTTAATGATAAATGAACAGTTGTGAAGGTTTCTTCATGCTGACTTTATCTTCATATCAGACACTGGGTTGAAATGAGCTCGAAAACTCATTGACATTAAGGTCTTGGTCGTCGTTCAGTAGTCATTATGCTATCGGTAAAAGTAAGTCATTAGTTCAACAATAAATCGTACAGTTAAGACAGTTATCTACTATTGTACATAGTATGCTTAACCATTCGAGGATAAAACAAAGCCGAAGTTCGCTTTCTTTTTTTACGAGATTTACCAATCGTTCATTATTCATTTAACAAAAAAAGGTGAAATTTTTAACAGACTTTCAATAGAACAAATTATGATGTAAACTAACAATAGAATCTCACAAAAGTTGAACAATTGAACTCTTAGATTGACAATTGAACTTCAACATTGTATTTTTTTAAAAATCTGACAGATTTCTCATTCAAAATCAAATGAAATGAATAATACCTTATGATTGAGCAAAGATCATTCAAACATCATTTTACTTTTTAAATTATCAATGGATAAGTTTTTTTGTTTTTTCATATTGTTTAAATTTGCACAAACATACTTCATTCATTGAGATCTCTAGTGTTTTTAGGTAAAGTTAAATTATATGATTGAATCCGAGTGACAAATAAAATGACATAGTACAAATTTTTTCCAATTTTTATCCGATCAAAAGACAAAATGATATTATAGATGGATTTTACGGATACAATAGAATATTTTATATTAAAGAATTGTGAAGATTGTTGTTGATTACTGACATAATACAATCAGTTATTGTTAGACTACTATTAAAAATATGGAAGCACTGGATGACCGTTTCGTCCTTGTATGGAACTCATCAGCAGTGCGCACCCACAACAATCTCCATAACTCTATAATAAAAAGTCGTACAATCTGCTTACTAGTGACAAGCGTCATGAGGAAGTTCTCGAAGTTCTAGTGAGAATACTTGACCACTAGAGTATATAACCTTGTCAGGTGTAGGCAGTCATTACCGAAGACAATGAATGAGGCTGCTTAAAATCCTTAAATTGGTCTGAGCGAGACATTAACATCGTTGGATTCGGGCTTAGTGGTCTAGAGGATAGGCTTTCGCGTGCAAGACTGAAGGCCCTAGATTCAAATCCTGCGAGTATGGGGAGTCGTGGATGCGTATAACCGATGAGTCCCATATCATGATGAAACGGCTGTCTAGGCAGTGCTTCCAGGTTTCTAATGCTGGTCTAACAATCACTGGTTCATGATTTCAGTAATATAATAAATTAATTAAGGCTATTTAGAGTTTCTTGTGTCTTGAAATGTAAGTAGTAGGGAGATTTATCAATATAACTTTTAATCGTTGCATCTTGTAACTACACTGAGTGTTAAAAATAATTATAATTACTTTGAATAACTGTTTTATCGATTTTTTCGACTGTTCTTCTATCACCCATAGGTAACAGTGTTCTAATTATGAGTTTTGAGTGAACACTTCAGTAATAATGGAACTATGATACATCTGTTACTTCACTTAAACCAGTCGATACAGTTTTAATGGTTAAAGTTTATGAATAATGTAATACATAACTAGTAGTGTAATGAACTTAGACGTTAAGACTACAGATTATTAGCGAAATGTGTACTTTTTATCTTTGGACTTCAATTTGTAAAACAATTAGGTTATTGGCTGTCTTCTTTCACATATCTTCTAGCTTTCAAAACATTTTGATCATGCCATATATCTGTACTGGGAACTTCTCGTCATCAGTAACTTCCAAGTGACAATCTGCTTCATATTACTGATAGGTCCCATTGTGAGTAGTATACACCATAATAGCAATATTTTTCTTTAGGTCACTTTAGAAAAGATCACGTATTACTACGTTTATTTCTGCATTCTAATGGCCCTATAACGTAACCATAATCACCTGAAATAGTTTTTGAGGCAATCCTTTGTCTTATAAACGCATTATTCTTATTGTGTTGTCGTGAAAATTAGAAAAATGTCCGATCGATATTCAGGATTTTGTGCTCAGCTGTGACTTTTGACCTAAATAAAAAGAAAATCTCCTTATTTTAAACGTGATTAATTCTCTTTCACTTATACTTAAGTTTTATTCGTGTGTTTAACTGTAATCTTTAAGTCAACATTTGTTCAATCACGACAAACAGTTTCATGATGACTGACTGTATGTTGATGTCTGTAAAGTTGACATGTGTATAATATTGTAACCAGCGAGATAAATAATCTGCAATATTTGAAAAGTTGCAACTTGAAGTTAGTTTTTAACTGACTATGTTGAATAATCTAAACTTTACCAGTTTATTTTATATACAGAAATCAGTACATATCAAGTTAGTAACCAGCGACTAGCTTTGGGAGGAAAATCTCGCATTTCTAGTGAGAAGTTGTGACTAGTTGAGTTCCAGTCAGTTGTGTGTGGGGTAGTTACCAACCGAAGACGATTGGTGACGTTGCGCAATAACCTTGGACTGATCAAAGTGTGGCATTAACGCCGTTGAATGCCAACTCAAACATCTACAGGTTAAGCGTTCGCGTGCAAAACTCAAGGGTCCTGGATTCGATTCCCGAGAGCGGCAATTGTGTATACACACTACTGAAAAGTCTCATACTAGTACGAAACGGCCGCCCAGTGCTTCTGGGTTTCTTTCGGTAGTCTAACAATGATTGATTTAATGTTTTCAATGAAACTCAACTACCTTTACAACTCCATGATGAAAATTTTAATTATATAAGCTAGGAGTTGTTTTTGTGAAATAAAATTGTTATTTCAGTCAAATATTGATTCTTTGATCATTCAAAGTTACAATTCCATGCAACATATAAATTTATTCAATTTAATTAACACTTTAAACTAGTCATCTCCATACTAACAATTTTTATTCCCTTACACAAACTATTCTAAATTTACAAGTAATACAGTTTGAAACGATGTAGTTTATCTTCAGCCTGGTCAATTTTTGGATTTCCTATTAGAACCTGATGCTAATCTATTGAAAAGAATATTCTTCACTTATATATTTGTTAGGTCCCCAAAACTCGCTTGATAAATGCCTTATTTTGGTTTTTCCGTTTGTGAGCATCGGCTGATCAGTTGACCTTGAGATTTCAATTCCCACCAGGAAAATCCATGGCTGTGATTGGCTGCCGTGTATTCTAGTATTCTGTTTTCTTAACTGTCTCAAGGACGTTTCTATGTTGTATAAATAAATGAGAGCTGTATGCTTGATTGTACTGTGATTGCTGGATATTGGTAGAATATACTTTCTACGCTTACAAAGCCTTTTTACTTCAGTCTGGGGATTTAAGATAGCTTACCTGGACGCTGGTAATTGTCTCGTTCGCGTTTATCGACTAAGGTAAAGTCGTAACAGCTTCAAGCATACTTAGTGACGAACCCTACAACTGGCGACGGGGATGGGATGTTCTAACATTTATGAAATCAATAAAAAAACTTAACAATTTTTACAGCTCTATAAAGGCAAAAGTAATCCATGCATAAAAAACCTAATCATCAAAAAAATAAAACCCCACTGGACACTATACCTGGAATAGTGTAATAGTGCAATAAACTTACATGAATAAGCTGATATTGTATAAGCAAATATATATGTACAAAATCCAGCCGGTACAAAACGTATAGCTCCAATGACCAAAAGACTAAGCACTGAAATGAAAAATTTGAAAACCACAAACTATTGATTACAAAACAAATTTAATTTTAAGATAAATAAATTACAATTGGGAAAAAAAAGTAGCTGAAGAAAGTTTGATGACTACATGGAAGTCATGTAATATTATCTCTAAAGTTTTAAAAGCAAAATATATTATCTAATGAAGTAAATGGATTTCAAAGTGTTTTTTAAGGCGTTTCATAAGTTTCTCTTATATAAAAAAAAACAGACTAAATGACTTTTACTGTGTTTTGAATGGGTTTAATTAAATTTACTTCGATTTGACTATAAGTATTAGAGGGGAAAATTCGCGCGAATTCAAAAATATCTCATCACAGTCTAATGATAACTGTCATTTCTTTAATTTTATTTAGGATATAATGACTAAAGATAGGCAGCTTAACGTATGTTAACCAGATTCCAGTGGAGGAGGAGGGGGAAATCTGGAAGAAGCGGTGGAAGTGGATAGGACACACACAGTGAAAAAAGCACCAAAAAGAGTCACAAGGTAAGCCCTTTCTTGGAACCCTCAGGGTCAAACGAAAGGAGGAATGCCAAGGAATACACTACGCCGAGAAATAGAGAAAGATATGAGAGGAATGAACGAAAATTGGACAGAACTAGAAAGGGAATCCTAGGACAGAGTTGGTTAGATAAAACTGGTTGGTGGCGTCTGCTCCATTGGGGTTAACAGGCGTAAGTAAGTAAGTAAGCTTAACGCGTGTATGAATTAGGAAAGTTGGATAATTCTGAGATAAATAATACAGACCATGAGAAAAATAGCATTGAACATTGACAGAATTTATTGATTTGTGGATTTTCTTTACAAAAATATTTCAGGTGATATTTTGATTCAATTATGGTTGGATGGAGCATACCACCTATAAGTCAACAAACTTGCTGATACCTATAAGGTCATGGATACTACAACTAGACCTAGAGTTACATGTTTCAATTTATACTCTCAATTTGATTTTTGTCGGTTTATAAATATTGTGTCTGGAGTTTTCCTCGATGGTCACATTGTGGTGTGAGCTACTTATAAGTAGTATATAACGTGAGTGTCAACGTAATGTCTGGCAGCAGAAGATGGGGGAAGATCAAGAAAGGAGGAGTTAGAAAACAATGGAATTTGTATGAAACGCATGAATAGTGACAATGGATTGATGTTTTGCAACAGGAACAGTCCAGTTCGATATGATGGACTGATATTTTGCAAATTAACGATTTACGATATGGTTTTCCAATTTTACTGAGTAACTCTGTAGTTTACGTTAAATACAATCCGGTTGCCCCACCTGTGTTCTCGTTCACTACAATATTACTTGGATATTTGTGATATTTATATATCTTTTTAATGATTCTCCCGAAAAATAATTTTGTTGGTAATTTTTCTAACGTTCCATTGGTTAGATCACTTTGAACTTGAAAGCTTTTGATTAGTCTCATTTATATTATTTCAATAACTTCTGTCCCAAAAGTGATCATGCAGTTTTATAAACACTTGTTCTAATTTACATAGTACTAATAATCACAAAATGTGTAATCACGAAAGTGTCGCATCCGAAACTTGTCATCAGGACGAAATGAACATCCTTGATTCTAAATTCTGACCACATTCTATTTGTTCTGTGTAACACTGAGTAATTTTTCACGACAATAACTTATCATTCACACTTAGTTTGATTTTGAAAAATATCCATCATCATTATTTACTCCTCGTTTATAACGTGTCAATAAATTTTTCTACCTAAACATTAATTTGGATGTAGATTGGTGAATTTTTATAGCTAGCGCTGAATTTGAAAAAAGGGCATACCACTTTACAGTAGTCCACGATCTTTACTCCATTTTGGAAGAATGACCAAGTATACAATGAAATAAATCTTCCCTTCAATTTCCATATATCATTCTTAGGTGAACCCTGTTTGTACAACGGCGATGATAATGAGAAGTCAAATACGGATTCACTTGGATAAGTTGATTTTATGCAATCATTCAAGCAGACAGACATGAGAATGGAAAGCAAAGTGAAGTGAAGTGGAGAAGGTAAGGTTAGACAACTGGATGTAATGAAGCATGACTGACTATTTATAGTCAGATAAAAATAGGTTAGACATGTGACAAGTGAAGTAGGCAATACACAAATACACTCAAATAAAAACAACTAAGATTATTAGCAAATAATTGACAAGGTCGAAGGACATATATATAAATAACTCATGAAGGATAGATGAAGTAAATTGTCCGAATTCTGGAACAAGCCCTGTGAGCTCGACATACACTACAGACTTTATTTTCTCTGTAGCGCTTCCTGAACTTATTCAAACAAAGTTAAATTTGTCCAATGGAAGAGGCTACAATCATTTATAGAAACTTAAATTAACTAAAGAATGAAGACTATTTCAAAAAAGTATCAATAACAATTAAAAATTGCGTTTACTCTGTAACGATCAAGTAAACTTCGCTAGGAAATCAAACCTGAATTCTCCAAGCCAGTGCTAGACATTAGTTGTACTAGATAGCATTATTAATCAAGTATACATCGCTAAATATATAAACTGAATATCATATCGATCACTGTTTTTTGCCTTCTCAATCGGTCAGTATTAGTAAAAATGTTAAAACATTATAACGAATGAGTTGTTCTATCAATAAGCATTCTAAATTTAGTCAATGTTGAAACGAATATCACGTGATATGTTTCTTTTTCAAAAGGAAATTCACAAGGTGACTTTACTCAATCCATACCTGGCTTTAGTATTTTTATAATTGAGAAATCTGATCGATTACGTATGCATGTATATCACACACTATGACCAACCAATGTTATTCTTCTTTCACGATTGAGTCACATGTTTATTGTGAAATAGTTGCCGTTAGGAAATTCTAAGACAGTCTATCCCATTGAGGAATATTATTAACATTAAAATAGAGACCCTCTCATATTCACCACTACAAAGTACATTGTAATGCTCACATAGTCTCAGGGTTTATTGATTTCAGTTAGATGACAAATACCGTGTTCTTGTCCATTGGAAATACCGAAATCAAATCGATTTATTGATAAAATTATTTTGTTAACTCTATCAACAACTTTCGTTTGATTGATTTACTTAAAAGTCAAAAAAACTTGCGGTGATATATTCATTTGAATTAGGATTCTAATGTCGCGTTATATCAGTTAAACTGTAATAATCAGTTCAATAATGAGAATATAAATCACAGCGGCCCGCCTAAAACTTTTTTTTTATCTGTTGTGGTCATATTTCCTGCTTTAGGTATAATTATTATTATTAATTATCATCATCTTACAATCGATAAAATTTTAAAACGGAAACAGTGAATGAGGGTTGATTTTGTTGCTTATATTGTCTGTCATGTAGGCAATGCAATAGCCATTGCGTATATATATATAGAGAGAAATTTTAATGCCCCCTAAGTATATTTTTATGCAGAAAAATGTCGTTCAAGGAAACAAAAATTGGTAGGTAAAATTTTGTAAGATAAAAAGATGAATAACAGGAAGAAAATGACTACAAGTGAGAAGTGTTTCTGTTTATTTTTGGATGGTTTTATGCTGAAAATTTTTCGATGGTTGAAAGGTGGAATCGATGGTTGTTAGACCAGGATTAGAAACCTTGAAGTACTGGATGGAGCTCATCAACAGAGTGTATCCACGACCTATGCATGTGGGACTCTAACTCAGGACTTTCGTTCTCTCGCTGAAACACTTAACGTTTAGACTACTGAGCTTGCATTCAAGAGTGGTAATGTCTAGCTCTCGTCAATCTAGGGTTTTGAGCAATCTTACCCAATATGATTAGTTGGTAACTGTCTTCAGCCTACAGAGTTGAACTTTACTGGTCAAGGTTTCTCACTGAGAATTTCTTGACAAATCTAATCACTAGTGAGCTCAGTGATCTAGAGATGAGGCGTTCGCGTGCGAGACCAAAGGTCCTAGGTTCGATTATCACTTGGTTGATCGTGGATGCGCACGGTCGATGAGTACCATACTATACCATATCGGTCACCTTACATGATTGTTATTGAGTTTTAAAAATTTCAGCAATTGATAAGACTGATAAACTACTTCAACAAATTGTTTGAAAACAGTTGAACAAAATCACACTACTTACTAGTAGTGACTAGTAGGCTGTCATTAGTGTCATACGATTTTAATTTTAATTGTTCTACAGCTCTATATCGTATGCTGTAAAGTTTATGAATCTGAAACTGCCGTAGCTAGTAACTAATTACAAGTATAACTTTAGGAAATTCAAATGACACTACTGTGTAGTACTGAAAGAATAAGTGTAAGAGGCATTATAAAGGTTCTTTATAAAATTCGTCAAAATCTATCGGGATTTCCTCGTATCCAACTCTTCAAAACAATAGAAACCCTTGTCATCAATTCAATGAAACCGGAACTACTTTTTACGAAAAAAGTACGTCTTACATCTTTTTCTCCCGACCGTAGCTGCTACCTTGACGTGGTGGTCGGGCTTGCCTATCGTGATGACCCAACCGAGCTATAACAGCTGGAACATATGTTCTTGTAGGTTCTACCACACCAGACGGGCCGATCGGAGAACGATGAGACTAACATCAGCTACCTAAGGTCTGGTGGCGAAGTCGTACTGCTGACTGCAGACAGGTGTGACAAAAGTAAGATGTTTCCCGTAGACAACCAGCATCTGCAGCGATGCTGTCTTCTCAAAAGGAAGGAAGGCATAAGAAAGGGTGCCCTCAAAAATGTCACATCTCGCCTTACCTCACGGATTTCTGTCTCCTGTTTTTTAAACAAATTCGGAGCCAACACTTTGAACACTTCCCTTTAAAAGGCCGTGCATGACCGGCCTCAAGCAGTTGTCTTTTGGGCTCTGCAGTCACGCCCCTAGGTCGCTCAGACCAACACTAACTCGATTTCCTTTTCAGGTTCCTCACGGGGCACCCTTCTACGGTGTGGGCTACTGGGAAGTGACATCCCCCTGCACACTCGTAACAGCACACTTGGCCAAATAGGTCACAATCAAAGTTCTTATACCATATCCTTAAACAATTATCATTATTGTTAGGAATTAATCAATCAGTGTAATTTATGGCATAAATAGTAGCTTTCGTAATTAGCTTTGATCTTGTATCTCACATGTTCACAAGAAATTTACAACACCCTCATATATTCCATCACCAAATTAGCTTTAGTGAACAATTCTACTTATTATTATTATCATTATTATTACTATTAATTTCCACACCTCCAGTCCATTTACTTTTCTACACCACTCTTTCCAATATCTGCTACACTGATTGATTATTCGAACATTAGTCAATTCGTAATTTGAGTAGTTTATATCAAAGATTATTTCAGTGTTTGCTTTCACAAGTTGTCAACCGGCACCCCATAGATTCAAGCCTTTATCACCTGTCATCAACTTATCGAATTGATGACTAGTACAAGCCAGTGGCAGTCTGGACTCAGTGGCTAAGAGGATAACGAAATGGTGTATGAGGAAAACGGTACTCCGTCCAAGTCTCTAAGTGAACATAAACTTTTAGATGCAGGTGCATCCAACTAAAGACGAAACGAGCATTGTCGATTTCAGTGCTAACCACTATCTACCTCTGACATAGATAAGCCTTTTGTAAATATTCATCAGAAATTCGTTGGAAAAAGTAATCATTTCAGTAAACTTCATGTTTACTTATGAATAAGTGAAGATTCTGTGTCCAGAGAACTGTGAATCACAGAAACAATTTAAAACAAGTATTAAATGTTCTTTAAACGTTTTTTATCAAAATATTATGTAAACTGAACTAGTTTTCTGCAAATATGTTAAACTACGAAATAAGATATTTTCATTAGTATAACTTTGTAAAATATGTGTTTCTCATGCATCACTGTTAATTTAATTCCAGTGTACTGATGAAATTACCAACAGTTTAAAATGTGCATAAGTTGAAGCGCATTCAAGTGATAAACCAACCCTTCAAGTTTTAGTAAGAAATCGTGACCAGTGGATTTCAACTACCTTGAGTTTAGAGCACTTGCTCTACGGAAAGCTTTGAAAGAAGGCTATGCATGTATTAAGTATTGATTGAAGTTAGATAGCAATTCTTACTGATTGGTCTAAAGGTTTAGTCCTTGGTGTACGATCTCTGAGAGGTTTTGATGTATTTCTCTGGTAGAGTCGTGAATGTGTACTGCTATGAAGTATCATACAGACATAAAAACAGCTGTTCAGTGCACTATTACCTTCATGACTCTCTTAATTAAGATTAGTTCGTGACAAGAGCCAAGAATCTTCTTCGAAGACAAAATCATAACACAGATTACATATTTATAAAACTTATTTATATTGTTATGCTCGTATTTTTTTAATAGTTAACAAAATAATTTTGTTGGTCTACATTCTATACGTTCAGATAACAGAGTCGAAGGAATACCATTTTACAATTTAGCAATCCCTAAATGATGATTTATATTATTGAGTTATATATATAGACAAGCATTAATTAACTGCTCCATTAATTTTTAAACTGATAAATTTACCTAACAAGAATTTAAGTCAGTGTCTATTTTTAATCAAGGGTGTATAACTTTTCCTCTTTTTATCAGTAATCTAAAGTATATATCTATCGTGTCTATCTCAAATTTAGTTAATCGCTCATAGATAGTATGGGTTTTTTGATATAATCGTCACAATAACGTTGTCTATAATTAACTTACTAAAAATAAATGATTTTTTAAAGCATGTACTTTTAAATCGTTGATATTTTGAGGAAATAAATTAATGTGTTGGTGTTTCGTTCTCTCAGCTGGATATTTTGGTTGTGAAGCTTTCATTGTTCTTCTGAATAACAATGACAAGTTTAAGGTCAATAGCAACTAATCAAGATCGAGGTTAACAGAACAAACTACAGGTCAAACGTGGAGAAATTTGAATAGTTCACTTCTACTATCTGAAGTTTGTGTTGATGATGTTGTAATCAGAAGGAGAACAATGAAAGCTTCATAACCAGCTCAGAGAACTAAAAACCACCACAATCATCCACCTAAGCTACAAATTTTCTACACCATCTTGGAATAAATTATTCGTAACAATTGTTTTTAAGTTTTCTGTGCATTATTGATCGGTCATTTTTCAATATTTATGGAAGTACGTCTTTTTATTAACGTTGGTATTCTATTTTTGATGCTGTTGAGAAAGACATGCATTATTGGTTGAAGTTTTAAGTGGTTGAAGAGTATCGTCTAGGAACCCTTAGTCAAGGTCCTGTGCTTTTATTATTCACGGACAAGCTCAACCTCAACAATCTCTACAAAGCCCACACTGTTCACGTATATCTGTCTGAGACGATTGTCTACTTCTTACTTCTAGTCAGCTTATATCATGATGTGAATATTACAAGTGTACAGAAAGTCAGTTGAAACGTCCCGGACTATGTAGCTGGATGATTTGTTATTCATTCTGTAAAGAAGTATTGATATTTTGAAGATGTTAAGTAGGTTCTTCTGATAAGTTGCAACTAATATGGAACATGGGTTCAACTAGGTTTTCTTGCTGACTACGTCTAACAATCAGTTATGCATTCGCCTACAAGACCCAATGTCTTAGGTTCGACTGCTGTAAGTAACGAGAGTCGTGAATGTACATCACTGATGAGACCCACACCAGGACGAAACGGCTGTTCGCTACTTCTGGGTTTCCAATGGTGATCTAACAATGATCGATTTGATGATTTCAGAGTTACTCAACAATTTCCACAACCTTTTCATGAAAATTATCATGTTCTCACTAGCGACCAGCTGCTTGCGGAAGTTTCCCCCAGTTCTAGGGGGAAGTCGTGACCAGTGGAGTTCAGCAATGTCCGAGTGTAAAGCAGTGCTCACCGAAGACAGTGGATAAGGTTGAGTAAGACGATGCGTTGATCGAAGTTAGACATTAACAACATTGGATGCAGGCTTGGTGGTGTAACGTTAAAGTGTTCATGTGCAAGGCTGAAGGTTCTGAATTCGACTGATGCCAGTAGCGGAAGTCATGGATATGCACTACTGATTATTCCCATACCAGAATGAAAAGGCAGTCTAGTACTTTCAGGGTTTTTGCGGTGGTCTAATAATGATCCGTTGTTGCTTCCAAAAAAAGAACAGTCACTACGTTTATTTCTATACAAATCAAAATAACATCAATGCACTTACCTGATCCCATTAAACCACATATAATTATTTGATATAATGATAATGTAAATTCTGAATCAGCATTAAATTGAAGATTTGCAAAATTGCTTTGATTAATAAAATTAACTGGTATACAAACTCCACCAATCGGCAGAGTAGGATATAATGGTAATGTTGGACATAAGGATGCATTTAAAATACGCGGTTGAGATCTACAAAACAAATTACAAATTTAAATAATAATCAATTGATCAATTAAATAGAATATCATTGTTTTCTACTTAATTAATCATGAAAATTGAATTTTTTTCAAGGTACAGTTTGATCAGAATTGACGATGTGTTTTATGATTAGAAATCAATTGATCATTGAATACAGAAATTTCACTTTGCTTTGAGTTAAATGTCCAATTTTAGATTTAATAATTGTATACATGCAAAAATGTGTGTTAAATGAGTTCCAAATTTCCTATTTAACTGTTGATAATTAACAGTTTCAAGTAATAAATTACATAACCTGTTCTATAATTTCTAACTGTAATATGTATCAGATATGATAACATTCGTCAACAACAAAGCAGTTGGTTGTAGCTTTGTGACAGTACACTGATTTTACAGTTACCATTGTAACATTCACATAAAATATTCATGAATGTCAATTAGTTTTAAAATAGTTTAAATAGTTTCCAGCTTTGAATTATTTGAAAAAGTACAACTTACTATCTGGTTTCTACAATTTCTACTTAACTAATCTACACTTACTATTTATACAACCAGTTCTCTTTATAAATTTAATTGATCTCATAACAAAAGGTATTTAGTAAAGTCATTCAGTCAAACAATACGTAGAACTTCGTGCTTACATACACAGGTTCATGTTGTCATACACCATTGTTTAATGAAGTCAGAGAGTGTAACTTCTGCTCAATATTCCGAACGCATTCATAGGGACCTACCTATGTATGACAACTTCAAATGAATGGCGTCTGATCGATGGTGAATATATAGACTCGAAAATAGTTTTGCATTTCAAATAATCAACAAATTACTAATAACAAGTTTGCACCATTTTTCCAAAACAACTGTTATGAAATGCTTTTGACCTGACTTATATTTACACAAATATACTATGGGTTAAGCCTTTCTCTCCTATGATGACTGTAATGACAATCTCTGACATAACGCTAACTATGTACAGTAATTATGCAATCAGTTACTATTTTCATAAAAATTCCGTAATCTAAATAATCTGTTATATTACTGAATAAAACAGTTTTAACAAGTTATAAGATTAACGACTACACCTTATTCACATATGTTTAACTTAGCATTCAGATCTTCCAATCATTTCTACTTTTCAACTTTGGGTTGAGTTAAGTACCGAGTTTTCTATAGCTTATTGAAACGTTTCAACAATTGACAAATAGGAAAGATTGCATCAAAAAATGGTCTGACATCTTAAATGTCAAATGAAGGTTGAACAGAGTGACCTCGAATTTAGAGAAGAATTCTGAGGACAAAACTAATTCCTTCTGTTTTTCTTTAGACTTGTACATTACAAATACGAATGTACAACTTAAGTAAATGATTGTGTCAAACAGAAAATTTTCTTCACCTGAATTCTTGTTTAATCTTAGTCAATTCCAAAATCATTTTTTTGTTAAATTTGAACATGAATAACTATAACACCATTCACTTTATTCTAAATGATTACATTTCTTTAACATTTAACTATGCATTATCAACATTATCCTAATGCGTTCTCTATATAAATTCTACTTTCATTTTGATAATATCCATCTCAGTCAGATGCATCGTGGAACTTCGTACGTAAGTGCATCAGTTCATGTCGCCATACCACATCAGCACACAGATATAATTGTCAATTCAAATACAATAGTAGAAGAGGTAGTAAAGGTATTAGAAGTAATCGGAGAGGTTAGGATTAAAAGATATTATTCAAGAAGTATGATTCAGTGAGATAAGTTTAGAAAGACAAAGGTAGGGGTGCTGACGAATCCAGAAGATTAGGATTTAAGAGAACACAAAGAATAAATGCACCGAAGCCATTGCAAACGATTTTGAGACATGTATTTCAGGGTATCTAACCATCGATTATTATCATCTCGGGGACCCTAACCAGGTAGTCGACAACTACCGACATGACTAAGTCCACTTGTTCGTGACTTCATGGATTTGTGCCATGTTTTGGTTTGGCCGCCCCTAACTTTCTTCTAACCTACTCCTACACTACAAAACAAAGCTGGTCGAGGCAGTCGGTGGTTGGGCATACGTAACACATGTCCCAACCACCTCAACTGATGAAGTTTCACTACTTCATCTATTGATCTGCCATTCTTACCTAGCACCCGATTCCTAATAACAGCGTTGCTCACTCGGTTGTCCCAGGATATACTTGCAAAGCTTCGGAGACACCTATGATCGAAAACCAGTAACATACGAATATCTTCTACTCTCACTGGCCATGTTTCACAGCCATAAAGTAAGACGGAGCGAACTACTACGCAGTACACTCGTCCTTTAGTCAGAAAACGGATATCTTGCCTACGCCATACATGACGCAGGTTGGCAAATAATATCCATCTAAATTTCAATGACTAATGTACACTGAAAGTTTATTTACATTAATGTAACTGAATGTAATTTTTGACAGTTTATAGCCAATGAAAGGTTATGAAATACAGTGAATTCATTTTATTCTGTAAACTTTGTGTTTTCTGACTCTGTTTAAACTTAGATTTTATGTGAACAGTTAAGTGGTATGATCATGGAGAACATTCAGCTGATTATCAGTATACATTTCTAAGAAAAAGCAATATAAAACAATATTTGAGTTGCATTTCTCAATGCTTATGATATTCAATGGTTGAGTTGTTTAAATGAAAACCATACTGAAAAAGCGGAAGTGATCAAATGACAAGGTCATTTGATGACCATCAGAAACTGACCTAAAAGACGAATACGTATGATTGGTCAAGAAGTGGCTTCCTTCTCTAAAGAGGTTAAATATATATGTAAATAGATGTATATTTGTATATGTGATTTGGTAACCAAATAAACTTGCCATTTCAGTCTCGTCTTCTCGCTTTAAAAGCCTATTTTTGGGGGCGATTAGCTTTATGCCACGATCGAATCACAGACATTGCACATCATAAAAAAGTTTTATTTTAGGGCAATCTACAATTCAGTTAACAAATTTTCCAACCTTGCACTACAGTCATTAAAACGATGTTTGCGTCTCACTGAAGAAAATAAATCACTTGACGATGTATATTGTTCATTATGGGGTTATGGAGATTGTTGTTTACAACTGAAATCACGAATCAGATTTTAGGCGTTCGCGTACAATACTGAAGGTCCTTGGTTCAAATTCTGCGAGTAGCAGGAGTTTTGGGTGTACACTGTCACTGATGAGTCCTATACCAGAACTTTATGACCGTCCAGTGTTTCCAGGTTTCTAATAGTAGTCTAACAATCATTGATTCATGATTTCAGTAATGATGTATATTGTGTTTTGGAAATAAAAGTTATTTATTCCAGGTTCCTGTCTTGGTATTAACATTAGAACCGAAACCCTGATAAATCCTTGCTACAACTTCTAAATAAGATGAAGTACATATCTTATATTCAAATGCGATTTAATAGCCAACCAACACTGAATATAACAATTACTTTTTAAATCATGAAAGATAATTTAGTCTAGTCGCATTGAAATTAATAACAATACACCTCCATTCTGATAACTTTTTCTTAGTTTAAAAATAATATTCAGGGAATAATTCATGCCTTTTTTCCTAAATGGGATTCAAATTTACAAATAAGTCCATAAAACAGATAAAACATATAAGGTACTCTGTAAGTAATAGACTTTTTATTAAAATTACTGATACCATAAAATCGCTTCCACAGACATTATCAATGGATTAAGAGGAAAAGAGTGATACTTAATTGACTAGACCACTGAATTATATGGTTTTAGTGATTACAGCAATTATAACACTCTAAATGATGATAAAAATGTGTTCTAAATCAGCGTTTTAAACTTTACGAAAGAAAAATGAATCAAAAACATGATTATATTGTTACTAAAGGTGCTTAAGAGATTATAGAATCATATGAGCATCGCTGTAACTTTTAAATTAGCCAGGGAAAACCAGAGACTAAACTCAAACAATTTTAAATGGTAAAAATCATTCCAAGATTTGAATAAAGTGTAATCAGTAATTGGATTGATTGTTAAGAACTTATGAGACACGTTAATTGTCATGCTCATATAAGCATTTTTGTATGAATTTGTACTTCTGATATAACAGTCAAATGATTGAGGCACCCCTTGGATAAATAAACTTAAAGTTTCGAGAACAACTACCAGAAACTAAGGTAAATGATACTTTGTAAGTTTCTTTGAAAAACGAAAATTCACTAGAAAAAATGAATCGTACTAAATACTTTTGTTGAGAAAAAAGACTAATTGTTGACAAGAGTAGAGAGTAAAACATAGACAGTGAAGTAGCTTTTAATTTGTATTGTTACCAATAATACAACAATAAGAAGGTCGTACTATTAGGTACATTTTCAAACTTTAGTTTATGATATTTTTGAGATAATTTTACACTTGACTTATCTTTGTAGTTATTATTCTGATTTTTCTATGCTCTCTGTTCCTTTTTTTATAAAATTTCTGGCAGGCCACTGAAAACGATATTTATTATATCGTTTATACAACAACAGGGTGTGCACTTAAAAAGAATTATTAGTTCCCGGATAATACTTTTACAGAATAGTTTTTTAGCGAATTACTTTTCTACGGGTAGGGCTAGCCCACCTAACTCCCATCTCTCCTCCTTTATCCAGTAGCCTCAGAGGGGCTCCAGACGGATATTTTGCATTACTGTAATACGTATAGCAATTCTGTCCTCATCAAAATTATCATGCCTTTAAACCGGCATGAATACGGTTACTTTCAGGATATCTTTATTATTGTTATAATTATTAAAAATAACTTATAACAATAGCTATCTAATGTTAGTTCTTATTTGCAAATGGTTTTACCAGTCTTAAAAATTATGACTCTTTTTTACATCGAACAATACACTTCATCCCTGTATGGTATTGCAGTTACCTCTTGGGTACTAGTATTATGAAAGCTAGCGTTTTTTTTTAATTTTTTTCTAGTTATCTTTCGTTTTAACGAGATTTTCTTTCACAGGATTGGTTTGTTAGTTCTTAATCAGCCTTTCGGCCTTTGCCGAGCTTAGAAGAGGCTATAATGCAGGGAGAAATGTGGGCAAGATGTAGACGTGAAAGAGAATACTTTACTTGTTGTGACAGTCCCTATTTTCGTAGTAGTTAGCTTTATAGTAGATTGTAAGAGTTTTTATAATGATAAATTTGCGCAGAATATCATTGAAGCAAAAAATTAAAATGGTAAAGGTTATTCCGATATTTGAACATTTAGGAAATAGTTAGCCTAGATATTTTTCAGGCTTTTGAATGTTCTTTCTGGAAAATATTTTTCTTATCACGATGGAAAGCAAATTTTATTCGATTTCAATAGGACAGTTTAATTATATATGGTGCAGCATGAAACGACAATCCCCCCTTTACAATAATTAAGCATAAAAGTTTTTAACTTCAGCAAACAATAAAGTCAGAAAGAATTTATTTCTTAATGGCGAAATAATTATATCTTCATTCAGTGGAAAAACTACAGCATATATCCAAGTTACGCTTAGTTTCCTATTATTGCAGACCTTGGGTGTTAGTTTGAATAATAAATTTATAAACCAAGTGTGTGTTTAGTTGTATATAGCAGTCTATATTGAGTATATAATTACTGTCAAAAAAAGCATGGCACAACTTATTCTTATCTCAAACAAAAAGTGTTTAATTACAAAGCGAAACATCTTGAATGCGAGCGGCGTGACGATGTGCACGTGGATTTGATTCACTAGTTAGGCTATCACTTTTATTTACAGCTATGTGGAGCCACCCCCAGTGATACTCTTCTCTCGCTTGTTGCCTCTCTATCTCACCGACCTCCCGTGGCTAAGGCGCGCCTTAGCCACGGGAGGTGGGTGAGATAGAGAGGCAAGAAGCGAGAGAAGAGTATCACTGGGGGTGGCACCACATAGCTGTAAATAAAAGTGATAGCCTAACTAGTGAATGAAAACAATCACATCGTGGACGTCCGCCGTCGCATTCAAGATGTTTTCGCTTTGTAATTAAACACTTTTTGTTTGAGATAAGAATAAGTTGTGCCATACTTTTTTTGACAGTAATTATATACTCAATGTAGACTGCTACATACAACTCAACACACACTTGGTTTATAAATTTATTATTCAAACTAACACCCAAGGTCTGCATTAATAGGAAACTAAGCGTAACTTGGATATACGCTGTAGTTTTTCCACCGAATGAAGATATATTTATTTCACTATTGAGAAATAAATTCTTTCTGACCTCATTATTTGCTGAAGTTAAAAATTTTTATGCTTAATTATTGTAAAAGGGGGATTGTGGTTTCACAATGCACCATATATGATTATACCGTCCTATTGCTTTCTATCATGATAAGGAAAATATGTTTCAGAAAGAACATTCAAAAGCCTCCAAAATATCTAGACTAACTATTTCCTAAATGTTCAAATATCGGAATAAACTTTACCATTTTAATTTTTTGCTTCAATGATATTCTGCGAAAATTTATCATCATAAAAACTCTCAAAACCTACTATAAAGCTAACAATGACGAAAAAAGGGACTGTCACAACAGTTAAAGTTTTCTCTTTCACGTCTACATCTTGCCTACACTTCCCCCTGGGTTACAGCCTCTTCTAAGCTCGGAAAAGGCAGAAAGGCTGATTAAGGATTAGCAAACCCACGCCGTGAAAGAAAATCTCATTAAAACGAAAGCTAACTAGAAAAAAAAATAAATGAACACTAGCGTTCATGCTATTAGTACCAAAGAGGTGACTGCAATACCATTTAGGGATAAAATATATTGTTTGATGTAAAAAAGAGTCATAGTTGCAAAGCTGGTAAGATCACTTACAAATAAGAATTAACATTAGATAGCTATTGTTGTAGGTTATTTTTAATAATTATAACACTAATAATAAAGATATCCTGAAAGTAACGGTATTCATGCCGGTTTAAAGGCATGATAAGTCTGATTAAGATAGCAATGCTATATGTATTACAGTAATGCAAAATATCCGCCTGAAGCCCTTCTGGGGTTACTGGACAAACGAGGAGAGATGGGAGTTAGGTGGGCTGGCCCTTCCCGTAGAAAAGTAACTCGCTTAAAAATTATTCTGTAAAAGTATCAGCCAGGAACTAATAATTCTTTTTAAGTACACATCCTCTTGTTGTATAAACGATATAATAAATACCGTTTTCAGTGGCCTGCCAGAATTTTTATAAAAAAGGGAACAGAGAGCATAGAAAAATCAGAATAATAACTACAAAGATAGGTTAAGTGTAAAATCATCTCAAAAATATCACAAACTAAAGTTTGAAAATGTACTTGATAGTACGATCTTCTTATTGTTCTATTAATGGTAACAATACAAATTAAAAACTACATCATTTTCTATGTTTCACTGTCTACTCTTATCAAAAATTAGTCTTTTTTCTCAACAAAAGTATTTAGTACGATTCATTTTTTCTAGTGAATTTTTTTTGTCAAAAAAACTTACAAAGTATCATTTACCTTAGTTTCTTTCTGGTAGTTGTTCTCGATAAGTTAAGTTTATTTATCCACAGGGTGCCTTAATCATTTGACTGTTATATCAGAAGTACAAATTCATGCAAAAATGCTTATATGAGCATGATAATTAACGTGTCTCATAAGTTTTTAACAATCAATCCAATTACTGATTACACTTTATTCAAATCTTGGAATGATTTTTACCATTTAAAATTGTTTGAATTTAGTCTCTGGTTTTCCCTGGCCAACTGAAAAGTTAGGACGACGCTCATATGATTCTATCATCTCTTAAGCACCTTTAGTAACAGTAAAATCATGTTTTTGATTCATTTTTCTTTCATAAAGTTTAAAACGCTGATTTAGAACAGGTTTTTATCACCATTTAGAGTGTTATAATTGCTGTAATCACTGAAACCATATAATTCAGTGGCCTAGTTAATAAAGTATCACTCTTTTCCTTTTAATCCATTGATAATTTCTGTCGAAGCGATTTTATGGTATCAGTAATTCTAATAAAAAGTCTGTTGCTTTCAAAGTACCTTATATGTTTTAGCTGTTTTATAGACTTATTCGTAAATTTGAAACCCATTTAGGAAAAAGGGTATGAATTATTCCTTGAATATTATTTGTAAACTAAGAAAAACTAATCAGAATGGAGGAGTATGGTTTTTAGTTTAAATGCGACTAGACTAAATTATCTTTTATGATTTGAAAAGTAATTGTCACATTCAGTGTTGGTTGATTATTAAATAGCATTTGAATATAAGATATGTACTTCATCTTATTTAGAAGTTGTAGCAAGGATTTATCAGAATTTCAGTTCTAATGTTCATACTAAGAGTGGAACTTGGGAAAAAAATATTTTTAATTCCGAAACACAATATAAATCATTACTGAAATCATGAATCAATGATTGTTAGACTACCATTAGAAACCTGAAAGCACTGGACAAATGTCTCGTCCTAGTATGAGACTCATCAGCAGTGCGCGTCCACAACTCCTGCTACGCGCAGGATTTGAACCTAGGCCCTACAGTATCGCGTGCAAACACCTAACCTCCTATCCATGATTTCAGTAATAAGCAACAATCGCCATAACCCCATAATGAACAATATACATCGTCAAGTGATTTATTTTCTTCAGTGAGACGCAAACATCGTCCTAATGACTGTAGTGCATGGTTGGAAAATTTGTAAACTGAATTATAGATTACCTTAAAACAAAATTTGTTATGATGTGCGATATCTGAGATTTGATCTTGACATAAAGCTAATCGCCCCCAAAAATTGGTTATTCGAGCGAAAAGACAAGACTGAAATCGGAAGTTTATTAGGTTACCAAATCACATATACAAATACGTGTCTATTTACATATATATTTAACCTCTTTATGAGAAGGAAGCCACTTCTTGAAAAATCATATGTATTGGTCTTTTAAGGCAGTTTCTGAAGGTCATCAAATGACCTTCTCATTTGATCACTTCGGATTTCCCGATATAGTTTTCATTTAAACTACTCAACTAGTGAATTTCATAAGCATTGAAAAATGCAACTCAAATATTGTTTTATATTGCTTTTTTCTAGAAATGTATACTGATAATCAGCTGAATGTTCTTCATGATCATACCACATAACTATTCACATAAAACATAAGTTAGAACAGAGTAAGAAAACATAAAGTTTACACTGTATTTCATAACCTTCCATTGGCTATAAACTGTCGAAAATCACAATAAGTTTCATCAATGTAAATAAAACTTCAATGTACATTAGTCATTGAAATTTAGATGGATATTATTTGCCAACCTGCGTCACTTATGGCGTAGGCGAGATATCCATTTGCTGACTAAAGGACGAGTGTACTGTGCAGTAGTTCGCCCCATCTTACTTTATGGCTGTGAAACATGGCCAGTGAGCGTAAAAGATATTCGTAGGGTACTGGTTTTCGATCAAAGAGGTATCCGAAGCATTGCTCGTATATCATGGGACACCCGAGTGAGCAACGCTGTTATTAGGAAACGGGTGCTAGGTAAGAATGGCAGATCAACAGATGAAGTAATGAAACTTCATCCGTTGAGGTGGTTGGGACATGTGTTGCGTATGTCTAACCACCGACTACCTCGACGAGCTATACTTTGTAGTGTAGGAATAGGTTAGAAGAAAGCTAGGGGCGGCCAAATCAAAACATGGTAGAAATCCATGAAGTCACTGCAAAATCGTTCGCAATGGCGCCAGTGCATTCATTCTTTGTGTTCTCTGAAATCCTAATCTTCTGGATTCTTCAACTTTGTAAACTTTTCTCACTGAATCATACTTCTTGAATAATATCTTCTAATCCTAACCTCTCCGATTACTCCTAATACCTTTACTACCTCTTCTACTTTTGGATTTGAATTGACAATTACATCTCTGTGTGTGCTAATGTGGTATGGCAACATGAACTGATGTACTTACGTACGTAGTTCCAAGTTGCATATGACTGAGATAGATATTATCAAAATGAAAGTAAAATTTGTGTAGAGGAAAGCATTAACATTAAGGTTGATAATGCGTAGTTTAATTTTAAAGAAAAGTAATCAAACAGAACAGAGTGAATGAGGTTATAGTTACTCATAATCAAATTCAAGAAAGAAATGATTTTGGAATGGACTAAGATTAAAAAAGTATTCAGTCGAAGGATATTTTCTTTTTGACACAATCATTTCCTTAAGTTGTACATTCGTATTTGTAATTGTTTGATAAATCTACAAGTTTACAGAAAAACAGAAGGAATTAGTTTTTTACTCAGAATTCTTCTCTAAACTCAAGGTCACTCTGTTTAACCTTCATTTGGCATTTAAAATCTCAAATTAGTTTATGATGCAACCTTTCCTATTTATCGATTGTGGAAACGTTTCAATAAGCTATAGAAAATTTGGTACTTAGCTCAACCAAAGTTGAAAAGTAAAAATGATTCCAAGATTTGAATGCTAAGTTAAACATTTATGATTAAGGTGTAGTCAGTAATTGTATAACTTGTGAAGAATTTTTTATTCAGTAATATAACAACAGATTATTTAGATTATAGAATTGTTATGAAAATAGTAACTGATTGTATAATTACTGTACATAGTTAGAACTTAAATCATATTTATGTGCATGCATCAACAGCGTTATGTAAGAGATTGTCATTACAGTCATCATAGGAGAGAAAGGCTTGACCCATAGTATATTTGTGTAAATATAAGTCAGGTCAAAAGCATTTCATAACAGTTGTTTTGGAAAAATGGTGCAAACTTGTTATCAGTAATTTGTTGATTATTTTGAATGCAAAACTATTTTCGAGTGTATATGTTCACTATCGATCAGACGCCATTCATTTGAATTTGTCAGACATAGGTAGGTCCCTATGAATGCGTTCGGATTACTGAGCAGAAGTTATACTCTCTGACTTTACTAAATAATGCTGTATGGTGACATGAACTTATGTATGTACGTACGAAGTTCTACTTTGTAACTGAATGACTGACTGACTTTACTAAATACCTTTTATTATGACGCCAATTAAATTTATTAAGAGAACTGGTTATATAAATAGTAAGTGTAGATTAGTTAAGCTTTTCAAATAATTGAAAGCTGGAAATTATTTATTCAATTACTTTACAACTAATTGACATTCATAAACATTTTATGTGAATGTTACAACGATAACTGTAAAATCAGTGTATTGTCATAAAGCTCCAATTAACTGTTTTATTGTTGACAAATGTTATCATAACTGATACACATTACAGTGAGAAATTATAGAATAGGTTAGATATTTTAATAGTTGAAACTGTTAGTTATAGGCGGCCAAATAGATAGTGCGGAGCTCATTTTACACACATTTTTGCATGCATACAAATATTAAATCTAACATTGGACATTTAACTCAAAGCAAAGTGAAATTTCTGTATTCAATTATCAATTGATTTTAAATCATAAAACACATCGTCAATTCTGATCAAACTGTACCTTGAAAAAAATTCAATTTTCATAATTGATTCAGTAGAAAACGATCATATTCTATTTAATTAATTATTAATTTAATTTGTAATTTGTTTTGTAGATCTCAACCGCGTATTTTAAATGCATCCTTATGTCCAAAATTACCATTATATCCTACTCTACCAATTGGTGGAGTTTGTATACCAGTCAATTTTATTAATCAAAGCAATTTTGCAAATCTTCAATTTAATGCTGATTCAGAATTTACATTATCATTATATCAAATAATTATATGTGGTTTAATGGGATCAGGTAAGTGCATTGATGTTATTTTGATTTGTGTAGAAATAAACGTATTGATTGTACTTTTTTTGGAAGCCGCAGCCGATCATTATTAGACCACCGCAAAAACCTGGAAGTACGAGACTACCTTTTCATTCTGGTATGGGAATCATCAGTAGTGCATATCCATGACTCCCGCTACTCACATCAATCGATCCCTTCAGTCTTGCACGCGAACACTTAACCGTTACACCGCTGAACATGCATCTTACGTTGTTAATGTCTAACTTCGATCAATCCACGGTCCTACGCAACCTTATCCACCGTCTTCGCTGAGCTCTGTTTTACACCCGGACATGGTTGAACTCCACTGATCACGACTTCCCCCTAGAACTGGGAGAAACTTCCGCAAGAAGGTGGTCACTAGTGAGAACATGATAATTTTCATGAAAGGGTTGTGGAAATTGTTGAGTAACTCTGAAATCATCAAATCGATCATTGGTAGATTACCATCGGAAACCCGGAAGTAGCGAACGACCGTTTCGACCTGATGTGGGTCTCATCAGTGATGTACATTCACGACTCCCGTTACTTATAGCAGTGGAACCTAAGACATTGGGCCTCGTAGGCGAATGCATAACTGATTGTTAGACATAGTCAGCAAGAAAACCTAGTTGAACCCATGTTCCGTATTAGTTGCCATTTATCAGAAGAACCTACTTAAAATCTTCAAAATATCAATACTTCTTGAAAGAATGAATAACAAATCATCCAGCTACATAGTCCGAGACGTTTCTACTGACTTTCTGTACGCTTGTAATATTCACATCATGATAGAAGCTGACTAGAAGTAAGATGTAGACAATCGTCTCAGATAAAACTGCGTGAACAGTATGGACTTTGTAGAGATTGTTGAGCTTGAACTTGTCCGTGAATAATAAAAGCACAGGACTTAGACTCTAGGTTCCTACACGATACTTTTCCACAACTTAACATTTCAACCAGTAATGCAAGTCTTGCTCAACAGCATCAAAAATAGAATACCAGTAATGCACAGGAAACTTAAAAACAATTGTTACGAATAATTTATTCCGAGATGGTGTAGAAAATTTGTAGCTTAGGTGGATGATTGTAGTGGTGTTTCGTTCTCTGAGCTGGTTGTGAAGCTTTCATTGTTCTCCTTCTGATCACAACATCATCAGCACAAACTTCAGATAGAAGAAGTGAAGTATTCGAATTTATCCACATTTGACCTGTAGCTTGTTCTGTAAGCCTCGATCTTGATTGGTTGCTATTGACCTTAAACTTGTCATTATTGTTCAGAAGAACAATGAAAGCTTCACAAACAAAATATCCAGCTGAGAGAATGAAACACTAACACATTAATTTATTTCCTCAAATTATCAACGATTTAAAAGTACATGCTTTAAAAATTCATTTATTTTTAGTAAGTTAATTATAGACGATGCTATTGTGACGATTATATCAAAAAACAACCGTACTATCTATGAGCGATTAACTAACATTGAGATAGACACGATAGATATATACTTTAGATTACTGATAAAAAGAGGAAAAGTAATACACCCTTGATTAAAAATAGACACTGAATTAAATTCTTGTTAGGTAAATTTATCAGTTTAAAAATTAATGGAGCAGTTAATTAATGCTTGTGTGTGTATATATAACTCAATAATATAAATCATCATTTAGGGATTGCTAAATTGTAAAATGGTATTCCCTCGACTCTGTTATCTGAACGTATAAAATGTAGACCAATGAAATTATTTTGTTAACTATTAAAAAAAGTACGAGCATAATAATAATAATAAGTTTTATAAATATGTTATCTATGTTATGAATTTGTCTTCGAAGAAGATTCTTGGCTCATGTCACGAACTAATCTTAATTAAGAGAGTCATGAAGGTAATAGTGCACTAAACGGCTGTTTTTTGTATGTACACGTTCACTACTCTACTAGCGAAATAACTCGAAACCTCTCAGAGATCGTACGCCAAGGACTAAACCTTTAGACCAATCAGTAGAACTGCTATCTAACTTTAATCAATACTGAATACTACATAGCCATCTTTCAAAGCTTTCCATAGCACAAGTGCTTTAAACTCAAAGTAGTTGAAATCCACTGGTCACGACTTCTTACTAAAACTTGAAGGGTTTATCACTGCAATGCACTTCAACTTATGTACATTTTAACCTTTTGGTAATTTCATCAGTACATTGGAATTAAATTAACAGTAATGCATAAGTGCGCATCCACCGTTGGATGCCGGCCCAATGGTTCGAAGGTTCGGCGTTCGAGTATAATACCGAAGGTCCCGGTTTCGGATCCTGCGAGGTGCAGGAGTCATGGATGTGCACTGCTGATAAGTCCCATACCAGGATGAAAGGGCCTTCCAGTGCCTCCAGGTTTCTAATGGTAGTCTAACAATGATTGATTGATGATTTGTTTTAAATTGTTTCTGTGATTCTCAGTTCTCTGGACACAGAATCTTTACTTATCTATAAGTTAAGTGAAATGATCACTTTTTCCAATGAATTCCTTATGAATATTTACAAAAGGCTTATCTATGTCAAAGGTAGATAGTGGTTAGCACTGAAATCGAAGATGCTCGTTTCGTCTTTAGTTGGATGCACCTGCATTTAAGAGTTTATGCTCACTTAGAGACTTGAACGGAGTACCGTTTTCCTCATACGCCATTTTGTTATCCACTTAGCCACTGAGTCCAGACTGCCACTGGCTTGTACTGGTCACTGTCCAACTCCGGTTATAATGCTCGTGACATATTGGTTATATTGAAGCAATACACACAGGATACACACATACCAAATGAGACTGTTCAATATCAGTTCTAACTATCAATGGGGAGATTCAAACAACCAATACAAATGAATTCATAATTCTTTCACTGAGATTCATATACATTCAATAGGTTGTAACCAGTGGAGTTTAGCGCTGTCAGTTCTGAAGCACTGCTTACTCAAGACAGTGTATTAGGATGCGCAAGGCCGTTAATTGATGGAAGTTAAACACTAATATCGCTGGATGCCGGCTAAGAACTGAACAGATTAGGTGTTCGCGTGTAAAACTAAAGGTCCTGCTGTGGTGTGAGCTATTTATAAGTAGTATATGACGTGAGCGTCAATGTAATGTCTGGCAGCAGAAGATGGGGGAAGATCAAGAAAGGAAGAGTTAGAAAACGATGGAATTTGTATGAAACGCATGAATAGTGACAATGGATTGATGTTTTGCAACAGGATCAGTCCAGTTCGATATGATGAATTGATATTTTGCAAATGAACGATTTACGATATGGTTTTCCGATTTTCTTAGTAACTCTGTAATTTTCGTTATATACAATTCGGTTGCCCCACCAGTGTTCTCGTTCACTACACTGCGTCCGAATACCATGAGCTGGGGTCGTGGATGCACTCTTCTGATGAGTCCTATACCAGGATGAAACGGCTGTCCAGTGCTTCCATGTTACTAGTGGCGGTCTAACATTGATCGATTCATGATATTTCTGAGGATACATTTTAAAAAATGATAACAATGGAATAGATAACATCAATAGACAATAAGTAAACAATACATTTTGATAAGTTGATGATAGGTGAACTAATTATGATAACGATAATAAAGGCTTGAATCTATGGGATGTCGGTTGAAAACTTGTAAAAGCAAACATTGAAATAATCTTTGTAAAAAACTACTAAAATTACGAATTGACTAATGTTCGAATAATCAGTCAGTGAAGCGGATATTGGAAAGAGTGGTGTAGAAAAGTAAAAGGACTGGGGGTATGGAAATTAATAGTAATAGTAATAATAATAATCAGCATTGCTCACTAAAGCTAATTTGGTGATGGAAGATATGAGGGTGTCTTAAATTTCTCGTGAATATGTGAGAGATAAGATAAAAGCTAATTGAGAAAGGCACTATTTATGCCATAAATTACACTGATTGATTAATTCCTAACAATAATAACAATTGTTTAAGGCTTTAGTATAAGAAATTTGATTGTGACCAGTTTGGTCACGTGTGCTGTTACGATTGTGCGGGGGGGATGTCACTTCCCAGTTGCCCACACCATGGAAGGGTGTTTCTCGAGGAACCTGAAAAGGAACTCGGGTTAGCGTTGGTCCGAGCGACCTGCAGAGGCCAAAAGACAACTGCTTGAGGCCGGTCATGCACGGCCTTTTAAAGGGAAGTGTTCAAATTTGTCGGCTCCGAACTTGTTTAAAAAACAGGAGACAGAAATCCGTGAGGTAAGGCGAGATGTGGCATTTTTGAGGTCGAGCTTTTCTAATGCCTTCCTTCCTTTTGAGAAGACAGCATCGCTGCAGATGCTGGTTGTCTACGGGAAACATCTTACTTTTGTCACACCTGTCTGCAGTCGGCAGTACGACTTCGCCCCCAGACCTTAAGTGGCTGATGTTAGTCTCATCGTTCTCCAATCGACCTGCCTGGTGTGGTAGAACCTACAGGAACATCTGTTCCACCCAATATAGCTCGGTTGGGTCATCACGATAGGCAAGCCCGACCACCACGTCAAGGTAGCAGCTACGGTCGGGAGATAAAGATGTAAGACGTACTTTTTTCGTAAAAAGTAGTTCCGGTTTCATTGAATAGATGACAAGGGCTTCTATTGTTCTGAAGACTTGGATACTAGGAAATCCTGATAGATTTTGACGAATTCTATAAACAACCTTTATAAAGTCTCTAACACTTATTCTTTCAGTACTACACAGTACTCCCATTTAAAGTTACTAAAATTATAGTTGTAATTAGTGACTAGCTATGGCAGTTTCAAATTCATAAACTTTACAGAATACGATATAGAGCTGTAGAACAATTAAAATTAAAATCGTATGACACTAATGACAGCCTACTAGTCACTACTTGTAAGTAGTGTGATTTTGTTCAACTGTTTTCAAATAATATACTGTTGCGGAAATTCTAAAGGAATATATTAAGATTGAAATGTATACATGGAAGGTGACCGATATTATCACAGTGATATGCATTATCGTTGTAGTATGCTTCACCTTCTGTATACGTGTGTATGTGAGAATGTAGGTTTTTGAGACTTGGTAGATTCACGACTGAACACAAAATTTTTCTTGTTTCGCTTCTGTGTCATTAAAGTTGTTACCAAATGAAGATGAAATCTCAAAAAAATACAAAAATGTATTTTTGTGCACTGTCACATAAAGAGTTAATTAGCTTTCAAGATCTTGAAAAAGATTGCGGTATATTGGTTATGTTAAAAAGCGCTTTATTTGATTACAGCAAAAAGATTTTCATTATCAAGTTATTGTGGGTTGTGGTTCTTGAATAAATTCATGAATCCATCAATGTTTGACCACCATGAATAACCTGAAAGCACTGGACAGTTGATTCGTCTTAGTATGGTACTCATCGACTATGCGCATCCACGATCAACCAAGTGATAATCGAACCTAGGACCTTCGGTCTCACACGCGAACGCCTCATCTCTAGATCACTGAGCTCACTAGTGATTAGATTTGTCAAGAAATTCTCAGTGAGAAACCTTGACCAGTGAAGTTCAACTCTGTAGGCTGACGACAGTTACCAACTAATCATATTGGGTAAGATTGCTCAAAACCGTAGATTGATGAGAGCTAGACATTACCACTCTTGAATGCGAGTTCAGTAGTCTAAATGTTAAGCGTTTGAGAGAGAGAACGAAATTCCTGAGTTAGAGTCCCGCATGCATAGGTTGTGGATACACTCTGTTGATGAGTTCCATCCAGTGCTTCAAGGTTTCTAATCGTGCTCTAACAACCAACGAAAAATTTCACCATAAAACCATTCAAAAATAAAAAGAAACACCTCTCACTTATAGTCATTCTTTCCTGTTATTCATCTTTTTATCTTACAAAATTTTACCTACCAATTTTTGTTTCCTTGAACGACATTTTTCTGCATAAAAATATACTTAGGGGGCATTAAAATTTCTCTCTATACATATACGCAATGGCTATTGCATTGCCTACATGACAGACAATAAAAGCAACAAAACAAACCCTCATTCACTGTTTCCGTTTTAAAATTTTATCGATTGTAAGATGATGATAATTAATAATAATAATTATACCTAACTAAAGCAGGAAATATGACCACAACAGATAAAAAAAAAAGTTTTAGGCGGGCCGCTGTGATTTATAATCTCATCATTGAACTAATTATTACAGTTTAACTGATACAAAGCGACATTAGAATCCTAATTCAAATGAATATATCAGCGCAAGTTTTTTTTGACTTTTAAATAAATAAATCAGTCAAACGAAAGTTGTTGATATAGTTTACTAAGTAATTTTATCAATAAATCGATTTGATTTCGGTATTTCCAATGGACAAGAACACGGTATTTGTCATCTAACTGAAATCCATAAACCCTGAGACTATGTGAGCATTACAATGTACTTTGAAGTGGTGAATATGAGAGGGCCTCTATTTTAATGTTAATAATATTCCTCAATGGGATAGACTGTCTTAGAATTTCCTAACGTCAACTATTTCACAATAAACATGTGACTAAATCGTGGAAGAAGAAGAATATCATTGGTTGGTCATAGTGTGTGATATACATGCATACGTAATCGATCAGATTTGTCGATTATCAAAATAGCAAAGTCAGGTATGGATTGAGTAAAGTCACCTTGCGAATTTCCTTTTGAAAAAAAAACATATCACGTGATATTTGTTTCAACATTGACTTAATTTAGAATGCTTATTGACAGAACAACTCATTCGTTATGTTTTAACATTTTTACAAATACTGACCGATTGAGAAGGCAAAAAACAGTTGACGATTTGATATTCAGTTTATATATTTAGCAATGTATACCTGACTAATAATGCTATCTAGTACAACTAATGTCTAGCACTGGCTTGGAGAATTCAGGTTTGATTTCCTAGCGAAGTTTACTTGATCGTTACAGAGTAAACGCATTTTTTAATTGTCTTGAGTCTTTAGTTATTTTAAGTTTCTACAAATGATTGTAGCCTCTACCATTGGACAAATGTTAACTTTGTTTGAATAAGTTCACGAAGCGCTACGGAGAAAATAAAGTCTGTAGTGTGTATCGAGCTCACAAGGCTTGTTCCAGAATTTGGACAAATTACTTCATCCATTCTTCTTGAGTTATTTATATACATCCTTTGACCTTGTCAATTATTCGCTAATAATCTTAGTTGTTTTTATTTGAGTGTATATGTGTATTGCCTACTTCACTTGTCACATGTCTAACCTATTTTTATCTGACTATAAATAGTCAGTCATGCTTCATTACATCCAGTTGTCTAACCTTACCTTCTCCACTTCACTTCACTTTGCTTTCCATTCTCATGTCTGTCTGCCTGCATGATTGCATAAAATGAACTCATCCAAGTGAATCCGTATTTGACTTCACGTTACTATCGCCTAAGAATGATATATGGAAATTGAAGGGAAGATTTGTTTCATTGTATACTCAATCATTCGTCCAAACTGGAGTAAAGATCGTGGACTACTATAAAATGGTGTACCCTATTTCAAATTCAGCGCTAACCATAAAAATTCACCAATCTACATCCAAATTAATGTTTAAGTAGAAAAATTTATTGACACGTTAAAAACGAGGAGTAAATGATGACGGATATTTTTCAAAATCAAACTAGGCGTGAACGATAAGTTATTGTAGTGAAAAATTACTCAGTATTACATAGAACAAATAGAATGTGATTAGTATTTGGAATCCAGGATGCGCGTTTCATTCTGATGACAAGTTTGGGAGTCCAACCTTTTCAGGATTATAAGTAATATAGAATTTAGAACAAGTGTTTCTAAAACGACCTGATTACTTTTGGGATAGAAGTCATTGCCTATTATGTGTGTAGTGACATAATCTCTATTTCATTTCATTGTGATTATTGACTGATAAATTACCTTGATTGGTTTAACATTTTCATATACAAAATATTCATGTATATTACAGTAAAAAGCCTGGTGATGATCTAATCGAAAACAACATTATTGTTCGCTTACATATGTTGTTCTAATTTTCACAATGGAAATCTTTAATATTCATAAATGAAATACATCAACATTTGTAAAGTTCAAAGTGATCTAATCAACTGAATGTCAGAAAAAGTACTACCGAAATTATTTTTCATGAGAATGGGTAAAAAGATATGTATTGCAAGTATCCAAGTATATAACCATTGAGAAAAACTCCCGATACAATATTTATTGTCAATCACTTAACCTGAAAAAATCAAATTTTGAAATATAAATTGAAATATGTCACTCTTTATTCACAATTGTCCAGTTGTATTGTTCATGACCTCATAGGTATCAATAAGTTGGTTGGTATGCTCAATCCAACCTGAAATATTTTTGTAAAGAAAATCCACGAAATCAATAAATTCTGTCAATGTTCAATGCTATTTTTCTCATGGTCTGTATTATTTATCTCAGAATTATCCAACTTTCCTAATTCATACATGCGTTAAGCTTACTTACTTACTTACTTACTTACTTACGCCTGTTAACCCCAGCGGAGCATACGCCACCGACCAGTTTTCTCCAGTCAACTCTGTCCTGGGTTTCCATTTCTAGTTCTGTCCAATTTTAGTTCATTCTTCTCATGTCTGTCTCCAGTTTTTTGCATAACCTGTTTCTAGGCCTTTCTCTTTTCCTTTGACCTTGAGGGTTCCAAGAGAGGGCTTGTCTTGTGACACAGCGCGGTGCTTTTCACAATCTGTGCCCTATCCACTTCCACCGCTTCTTCCAGATTTCCCCCTCCTCCTCCACTGGAATCTGGTTAACATACGTTAAGCTGCCTATCTTTAGTCATTATTCCCTATTTGAAATGAAAGAAATTTAAAGTTATCATTAGCTTGTGATGAGATATTTTTGAATTCGCGCGAATTTTCCCCTATTCAAAACACACAGTAAAAGCCATTTAGTCTGTTTTTTTATATAAGAGAAACTTACGAAACGCCTTAAAACATTGTAATCCATTTACTTCGTAAGACAATTTTTTTAAAACTTTAAGGATAATATTACATAACTTCGATGTAGTCACCAAACTTTGTTCAGCTATTTGTTTTCGATTTGTTTATCTTAAAATTAAATTTGTTTTGTAATCAATAGTTTGTGGTTTTCAAATTTTTCGTTTCAGTGCTTAGTCTTTTGGTCATTGGAGCTATACGTTTTGTACCGGCTGGATTTTGTACATATATATTTGCTTATACAATATCAGCTTATTCATGTAAGTTTATTGCACTATTGCACTATTCCAGGTACAGTGTCCAGTAGGATTTTATTTTTTTTTTGGTGATTAGGTTTTTTATGCATGGATTAATTTTACTTTTATAGAGCTGTAAAAATTGTTAAGTTTTTTTATTGATTTCATAAATGTTACAACATCCCATCCCCGTCGCCAGTTGTAGGGTTCGTCACTAAGTATGCTTGAAGCTGTTACGAGTTTACCTTAGTCGATAAACGCGAACGAGACTTTTACTAACGTCCAGGTAGGCTACCTTGAATCTCCAGGCTGAAGTGAAAAGGCTTTGTAAGCGTAGAAAGTATATTCTACAAACACCCAGTAATCACAGTACAATCAAGCATACAACTCTCGTTTATTTATATAACATAGAAACGTCCTTGAGACAGTTAAGAAAATAGCACACTAAAATACACAGCAGCCAATCACAGCCATGGATTTTCCTGGTGGGAATTGAAATCTCAAGGTGAACTGATCAGCTCATGCTCACAAACGGAAAAACCAAAATAAGGCATTTATCAAGCGAATTTTGGGGATCTAACATCCTCAACAGTTAGAAAGCTGAAGGCATTGGACAGTGTAGCTTCAAACTCCACTCATGGGAATCAAAGCCAGGACTTTGAATTTTGCATGCGAAAGCATACGCTATCGATTTCTGAGCCAATATCCAATAGTGTTAATGTTTAAATTCAATTCATCAATCAGTTTATAAATGGCTTTTTATTAAAATTCAAGTCATTATCATCACACAATATTTGAAAACTCCTTATTTCGTAGTGCAAATTACGTTTATGCAAAGTTCATAGTTGTTTGATAGATATATAGATAAGTCTGTAGGATGGTAGATGAGATTACATCATACGGTGTCTTGAAATTTCACATAACAAAAGAAGGCTACAAAAATGATATCTAGGGTTTAGAGACTTAAATATATATGTTAACCGTTTAAAATCTCTCGCGGTTCGGGTTTCACCTGTTACCCCCAATGGAGTATAGGCCGTCCACCAGTTTTTCTCCAAACAACTCTGTCCTGTTAAAATCCCTCACAAACATTAATATCTGAATGAAGAATATTCTTTTCGATTAACTTGCATCAGGTTCTATAATTATATGTATATCTAAATAGGTAATCCAAAAATTGACCAGATTAAAGATAAACTACATCGTTTCAAACTCTATTACTTGTAAATTTAGGATAATTTGTGTAAGGGAATAAAAAGTGGTAATATGCAGATGACTAATTTGAAGTGTTAAATTGAGTAAATTTATATGTTGCATGAAAGTGTAACTTTGAATGATCAAAGAATCAATATTTGACTTAAATAACAATTTTAATTCAGAAAAACAACTCCCAGCTTATATACTTAAGATTTTTATCATGGATTTGTAAAGGTAGTTGAGTTTCATTGAAATCATTAAATCAGTCATTGTTAGACTACCAAAAGAAACCCGGAAGCGGCCGTTTCGTACTAGTATGAGACTTTTCAGTAGTGTGTATACACAATTGCCGCTCTCGGGAATCGAATCCAGGACCCTTGAGTTTTGCACGCGAACGCTTAACCTCTAGACCACTAAGTTGGCATTCAGCGTCGTTAATGTCATCTAAAGTCTTCTGTAGGTAAATGCCCACACCCGACTGGTCGAAAGTCAACTAGTCACAGCTTCTCACTAGAAATGCGAGATTTTTCTCCCAAAGCTAGTCACTGGTGAGCACATTTTACTGAAATTATTATGAAAGTAGATGCCCGATATTATTTCTTCATTAAATCGTCAATTACTAACTTAAAATGAATTGATTTATGTACATAAAATAAACTGATAAAGTTTAGATTATTCAACATAGTCAATTAAAAACTAACTTCAAGTTGCAACTTTTCAAATATTGCAGATTATTTATCTCACTGGTTAGAATATAATACACATGTCAACTTTACAGACACCAACATGCAGTCAGTCATCATGAAACTGTTTGTCGTGATTTAACAAATGTTGACTTAAAGATTACTGTTAAGCATACTAATAAAGCTTACGTATAAGCGAGAGAATTAATTACGTTTAAAATAAGGAGATTTTCTTTATTTAGGTCAAAAGTCATAGTTGAGCACAAAATCCTGAATATCGATCGGACATTTTTTTAATTTTCACGACGAAATGAAATAATAAGAATAACGCGTTTAAAAGACAAAGATTGTCTCAGAAACTATTTAGACGATTACAGTTACGTTATAGGGCCACTAGAATGCATAAATAAACGCAGTATGGTGTATGCTACTCACAGTGTGACCTATCAATAGTATGAAACAGATTGTCACTTAGAAGTTATTGATGACGAGAAGTTCCCTGTCCGGATATATGGCGTGATCAAAGTGTTTTGAAAGCTAGAAGATAAGTGAAAGAACATAGCTAATAACAAAATTGTTTTGAAAATGAAGGTCTGAAGATAAGGTGTACACATTTTGCTAGTAAACTGTGATCTAATACATTACATTGCCTTTTACGAAATATTTAACCCATTACAACCAAACCAACTGGTTTAAGTGAAGTAACAGATGTGTAATAGTTCCAATATTACTGAGGTGTTCACTCAAAACTCATAATTAGAGCACTGTTATCAATGGATGACAGAAGAAGAGTCGAAAAGTTGAAAAAGCAGTTATTCAAAGGAATATTAACTATATTTAACACCCAATTTAGTTATGAGACGTAACGATTAAAAGTTATATTGATAAATCTCCCTACTACTTACATTTCAAGACACAAGAAACTCTAAATAGCCTTAATTAATTTATTATATTACTGAAATCATGAAGAATCATAGTTAGACAAGCAGTAAGAACACCTGAAAGCAGTGCTTAGAACAGCCATTTCATCATCGTATTGGACTCATCAGTTGTACCATTCACGACTCCCCATACTCACAGGATTCGAACCCAGGGTCTTCCGTCTTGCACGCAAAAGCCCACCCTCTGGACCACTGAGCCCGGATACAACGATGTTAATGTATCACTCAGATCAATTTAAGGATTTGAGCAGACTCACTCATTGTCTTTGGTAATTACTGACTACACCCACAGGTTGTAACTTCAGTGGCACCATCTCAGCTAGAACTTCGAGAACTTCCTCATGACGCTTTTTACTAGTGAGCTACATTGTACGATTTTTCTATTATAGGAGTAATGGAGATGGTGTGTGGGTGTGCAACGTTTGAGGAGTCCCTATACCATGACCAAAACAGGCCATCGCAGTGCTTTCCAGGTTTTTAATACTGGGTCTAATAATGACTGATTGGTATTATTTCAGTAATCTACAACAATCTTCACTATTCTGTTTAGCTATGAACTAATCTATTGTATCCGTAAAATCCATCTATAATATCATTTTGTCTTTTTGATTCGGATAAAAATTGGAAAAAATTTGTACTATGTCATTTTATTTGTCACTCGGATTCAATCATATAATTTAACTTTACCTAAAAACACTAGAGATCTCAATGAATGAAGTATGTTTGTGCAAATTCAAACAATAGGAAAAAACAAAACTTATCCATTGATAATTTAAAAAGTAAAATGATGTTTGAATGATCATTGCTCAATCATAAGGTACTATTCATATCATTTGATTTTGAATGAGAAATCTGTCAGATTTTTAAAAAAATACAATGTTGAAGTTCAATTGTCAACCTAAGAGTTCAATTGTTCAAATTTTGTGAGATTCTATTGTTAGTTTACATCATAATTTGTTCTATTGAAAGTTTGTTAAAAATTTCACCTTTTTGTTTTAAATGAATAATGAATGGTTGGTAAATCTTGTAAAAAAAAGAAAGCGAACTTCGGCTTTGTTTTATCCTCGAATGGTTAAGCATACTATGTACAAGAGTAGATAACTGTCTTAACTGTACGATTTATTGTTGAACTAATGACTTACTTTTGCCGATAGCATAATGACTACTGAACGACGACTAAGACCATAATGTCAATGAGTTTTCGAGCTCATTTCAACCCAGTGTCTGATATGAAGATAAAGTCAGCATGAACAATCCTTCACAACTGTTCATTTATCATTAAAACTTAAAATGTGTACATGATATCGAATAACATTACTGTTAAGAAATAACACTGTACGCATCAGTACTCTATAAGTGAAGCAGAAACACCTAGATAAGGGAGATCTGCAATTTCTTAATAGCCAGTTCTTACTACGATAATTTGTGCTTTACACTGAGCTCTACAAACAGAATAAATATAACAATACAATAATTAATTCAGGCGCTAAATTTTAACTAAATATTCTCATAATTGGATTTTCCCAATAAGGTTTACGACTGTAATTGACCAGTCTCTTTTTGGCATATCCACTTCCACCAATAAATGCCTTTTACTTATGCCTGTTACCATTTATGAAGCATAAGCATCCGACCAGCATTCTACACCCTACTCTTTGCTAGCCATTCTTTCCTTCCCAGTTCTGTCTAATTTTTGTTCATTCTTCTCATGTCTGTCTTCATTGATCAAAGTAATCTGTTTTCCGGTCTTCCTCTTTTCCTTTAGCATTGTGGATTCCAAGATAAGACTTGTCTTGTGACTCAGTCTGGTGCTTTCCTCAATGTATGTCCTATCCAATTCCGGCGCTTCTTCCTGATTTCTCCCTCTGATACAATCTGATTTGTTTTCTCCCAAAGTAGGTTGTTGCTAATGGTGTCTGGCTAAAAAGCCGAAGTATTTTGCATAGACAACTGTTAATAAACACTTATATCTTCTGGATGATGGCTTTGGTAGTTCTCCAAGTTTCCATATAGTAGAATTGTCTTGACATTTGTATTAAAAGTCCTGACTTTGGTGTTTGTTGACAGTTGTTTTGAGTTACACTTGTTCAGATGTACAAATGCTCTCCCTGCTTTCCCGACTCGCGCAGGCACATCTGCATCAGATCCACCTTGATTGTCGATGAAGTCGCCCAGATATGTATAAAGGTTTTTTATATCCTCC